TATCTAGAAACATATTATTTTCTAATTAATACCAAATCTTTTATTTTACATTTTAGTTCCATGAAACGTAAAAAATATTCCCGGCATATTTTTATTTACTGTTGTTTATTTCAATGTCTCAAATAATAATATCTATTATAAACGGAAAAAATAAAAAAATTTACACTAATACGTTTCATTTACATTACATTTACATTTTCATACATTACATTTCGCAATTTATTTAGTTTAAAAGGTGTAATGGTACATGTCATTCGCATAAATATGTATTTTCAACATTGAAATAAATTTAAAAACAAGAAAAATGGTGATAAATTAAAATATTTAAATTAAATTGAACTTTAAAAATTCAATTAAAAATAATTAAAAGACGATAAACTCATTAATTGATCAATCTGAGGGATAGTTAAGCTTTTTGCTATAGCGTGGCGGAGGCGTGACAATCCTTTGGGCCAGACTGTTGCCATTGGCCAGACTGTTGATAAGAAAAAAAAACTCGTCGTCTTTTTGTATACTCTAGCCTTAGAGTGGGAACTTAATGGATTATATCATTACATCAAGAACGATGATTATGTTTATAAGATGACGGAATAGCATGTACTTCTCTGAGTATGATTAGTTCTAAAGTTAAGCTTTTTTTCTGCTTCATTCCAACAAAAATTGTTGAATAAAGATAGGAATGTGTGAACTTATGTTAGTATTTCAAAATTATTTCATATCGAGCATTTATGAAGAAATATAAAATTTTCTAATCAGTTAAAAATCGTTTATTTTAAATTTTAGTTACATTAAATGTGAAAGGGTTTCTGTCACATTTTTATTTACTTATATTTGTGTTATTTTGTCATATAATAAATTCTTCTATAAACAGAGAAAATAAATAAAAATCTACATTAATAACATTCTTGGAATTTACTCCTTAGTTTAAAAGGAGTAATGGCTCTTGGCATTTTTATAATATGTGTTTTATTAAACATTATATTAAATTCTAAAACAAGAAAAATGGTAGGAAATTAAAATATTTATAGTAAATCGTAATTTACTCAACAAAATGTACATTTGTCTTCATTAACACACCACATCCTTAAAGAATTGACATCTAAGCATTTCATAGAACTAAAATATCCAAACGATTGCAAAAACTTCCTAAATTCGATAGAAAAATAATTAAAGAAAACGATAAACTCATCATTCCAGCTAGTAGTTAAGCTTTTTGCCTTCACATGGGCTGAAAAAGTTGTGACCAGGGTGTTGCCATTTTAGCAAACATTGATAAAAAGACAAATCATAATATTTCAATATGTTCTAGTATTAGAGTGTTTATATGTATACGTATACATACATCTCTGCTGCATTAACTAAAATGCATTTAAAACATTTCTAAAAAGTAACAAAATTGATTTCCACTTATTTAATGTATATTAAAGGTTGACCAGAAAAGAAATTAATAAAAAAATATTCAATGAGGTTAATAGTTTCAAAATGCAGAATTAAAAACAGCAATGTTCTTTAAAAATATCAAGTGTGAAGAATATAGTCGATTGAAATAGGTTTCAACACCGCAAAGTTATTTGAATTTCGTTCGACTCTCAAAACAATGGTACACCTGATTCAGAAGTACTCCTTCGAATTACAAATCCCCAAAACATCCATTATTTATTGCTCATTTTTGTCCTCAATTACTATATTGTTATTTCATTTCTGAGTAAATTTTAACTGTGGAGAAAAACACTAATGGTAATTTTTTTTTAAATGATTGTTTTAAGTTTGTACAGCTTAGCGAGGAAATATCGAAAGGCTTTTCGAATCTTAAAGACGGTGATAAATCCTGCTTCATCATTAAAACTTTACAATTCAATGAAACACCGGATTCTCTTAAGTTTCATAACAACTCTTTTCTTGTAACTTGCGCTGTTATTAATGAAGGATTTTTATGGAAGAAAAAATTATGCATCGAAAATATTTTTTTTAACTTTAAATATTCTGTAAAATGTTCATTTTTGTTTTTGTTTTTTATAGCGTCTACGATTATTGCCTTTTGCAAATGGAAATATTTATCATTTGAGTTCATCTCAGAGCCAATTAATAAGGAATAAATAGCATACGGAAATAACTCTGCAGGTTCTGATTGAGATAAACATAAGATTTTCAAGAATTACTCGGAATTTACACTATTTATAGCTCTTTTATTGCTGTTTTTTTTACCTCTCTTTCCGAAACAATGATAATAAGGAAATGAATTAGTACATTGTATTTCCAACCTTTCACTATATATGATGAATTGCCTTCTACTTAAATCTTTAATAAATCTCATAAGAACTTATTTAACGATGTTTCAGTTTAAACTTCGATAAGGAAATAGATGATTCATGATTCAGAACTAAAGTAAATACTTGAAACAAATTAATTAAATTACTTCTTGTAGTTACTTTCCAAAACAGATTCTGAACACTTTAGTCTCACATTATATCTGTCTTTAGTGTGTTAAAATATCATAAGATTACTTGAAAAGTTTGATTCCGTACATACATTAATTTAATGTTACTCGCCTTGTAAATTGCTTAGATAATAAATTTTTCAAATGTGCCTGAAAAAATTTAATGTAAACCCATTATTTATTTTTTATTACTACATAACGTTTAAACAATGTAAGATTTTTTTCAAAAAAAATCACGATTAATGTAGTGTAAAATGTTTTGCGTGAGGGTGTTACGCGAAATTTTAAAAAAACACCTCGTATAATTGGGTGCTTGCAACTCAAGAAGAAGATCGCTAATACACAGACACTTGACCTATGATCTCAGCACCAGCTGGTTATTCAGAAAAGAATCACAAGTTAATATTCTGGACATTGCTGTCTATAAGGTCAAGCTAAGTTTCCCAACATAAGTTTGTTAATTAACGTGAACTTAATTAAATCCAACACCGTATTGGATATTGAATTTGTTAAAATGTAATTCTTTCTTGTCTACGCCTTTTTTTAACCTAGATTCATTATATGTTTATCTATTTTATTGTAACAGTAATTATTCTTGTCTTGTGTATCTGGCAAACTTCGTTGGATAATTAATTCGTTATAATGTTCTACATGGCTTCATGCCTGTCTTTGTGTTAAATAAGAAATTAATCAAATCTTTCCTTGTGAAAGAATATAGAATGTGTTACTTATGAGAATTCATATTTTACAGACTAGGGTTGTCCGAAATAAGATCGAAAGAACAGTTGCTAACATAAACAAATGCCACGTTTCAACAGTCAATCGGGATAGATACACACACACACTGACTTCACTTGCAGGTATCAGTTTATTGTTTATTTACGTACTATATTCTAAATTATATTTTCAATCTAAATAATGAGCATTAAGTGTGGTATCCCCACTGATACAATAGATTATAAAATACTTTTAACATTTTAATGTTAATAAAGCTATTTTTCAGTGAAAAAACTTATTTAATGTAATCAAAAATATTTAATATTTTTTGTGTATTTAGTCTGACATTTATAATTTGTCCTTTCAAACTGTTTTTAATGTGATCTGAGAAATAAAATAAAAATCAAGAAATTATTTTTAAAAAAACTACTACTTTTTTTATGAATCCATAAAAATTATTTTGTTTGCTTAATAAATCCAGAATAAAATCGTTCTTTTGACATAAAAATTTAAATAAAAAATAACCTAAAAGTAAAAGAAAATCTTAACTGAAAATGTACTTACTAAACTGAACAAGCGTGAGGAAAAAAAACTGTGACTGCGAATTTCAAAAAATTTAAATAACTTTAAAGATAAAATATTTAAAAATAAAACTCCAATAGAATTCAGAACATTATTTGAAGATATCTCAAAAATGTATCAAATTTTAACGATTTTAAAAAAAGGGACTTTAATTCATGAATTTGTCTCAAAATATTACTTTCTGTCCAATGCAACCGCGCAAATTTTCTCAGTGAAGTTTTAACCAAATTCCATCTTCCACAAATCAAATGAACGAATGAGTTTAATGAAATAGTTATAAAAAGATATGAAAATACATTGAGTTATATATTTGAATTAACCATTTTTATGATATTAGTTTTCATTTAAAGTTTACTTTTAATGGATTTAAAACTCTTTAGTAATATAAGCTGTGGAATGTTAGAAGCATCAAAAACATATTTTTAATATCTTTTTTGATATATATATATATAGCACTGATAACATGCAACTTAATTTAGGAATATCACCATGCAATCAGTACAGGAGCATTTCTACGATCGATGGCAAAAAAACGCAATAATAATTCATATCTATATTCTGCTGGAATATATATGCCCGAGAAAGAATAATAAACAAGAAATAAGAGCAAGGTCATATGAAGATACTATACTAAAATCCCAAAAATCGAAGTAGAAGTAATATTCGATAGAAGGATAGGTAGGTACGTACATAATTTACGTTGCACTAGAGTTGCACAATGCGCTATCGGCGATGGTCAGGGAAACATCCCTGTGATGATCCGAAGGCATGCCATCACAATTTCGATTCTCTGTAGGGGGCACGGCTCCTCCGTTTTGGTAGCCCGACAACCTGACCACGAAGTCGAGCACTTTACGGTAGAACATTTTACAGAGGATCGATAACGCGCACCTTCGGTCCTTACGCTGGCTGATCAAAGTGATCACCAACCCTCTTACTGACCTCAGACAGTGATGCTTGACTTCGTGATGTTCGATTAGTCTACTATGCGACTCGACAAAAGGGAAACTCAATCTTTCGAAAAAAAAGTCAAATGTCGCAGGTACGAGTTTTAAATTAGTTTGTATACCAAAATGGAAAACCGCAAAACTATGAATTAAATATCTTAAGTCATAAATGCGAGAAAACAAATTATAACTTTAATCGTATCAAATTTTAAATCTTACTTCTCTGATCTCCAATAACTGCATAAAACATGAATTTATTATTACTAATTGATAAATGATAAAATATTTTAAAAGCCAAAATTCGTTTTAATACTTACAGCCCAAACTTGATTCTCAGAAATGATTATTTTATGAGCTTCTTGTATTTATAGATACCAGAATAATTCTAAGAATCCTATGCAAATAGGTTTTTTTATAGCCTATGATTGGATTCCAGAATAAAGTGGTATAATATTAGCATAATTCATTTTCTTAGAAAAAAGCATTTGAGTAATCATTTTTGCGGAGTTTCCGGAAATCTCATTTTTTATAGCAAGAATAATAAAAGTTCTTTATTAAAAAAAAATTAGGCTCGAAATATTTGTGATATTTAAGTATTTAAAACTTTTTTCATTGTTTATTAATATATATTGGAAGTAATTGTCTTTCACTTATACTTCATTTTAAAGTTTAATAAATAACAGATTATCATAACTTTTCGAATACAAAAGCATTTTGTAGAAAGGGTTTTGAAAACATATTTTGTAGGTTTTAGCTAATTCAATATATGTAATTTTATTATTTTTATTTACCTTCCGTGTCATTAAGCCGTTAAGTACAATAAAAAATGCTGATTTGAACAGAGAAATAAAACATTGTTTTTTCTTTTAAAAAAATTTTATTTCTTTTAGCGGACCATTCCATTGTCCGTAATACTATTAAAATTTTTCTTATGGCTGGTACAACATGTGGACCACATGTGATAGTGCAACATAATATACCGTAAGCAAAGGGTTAAATAGACTTAAGAGGTAAATGGATAGTAAAACAAGAAAATGAACATTTTCATTTCATATATCTTTTCTAACTGCCATATTACTATTCACTCAGTTCTAGTTTTCCATTTGTTTATTCCTTTGTTCCTATTTCGGGAAGATATCCGTATAGTGATCTGTGGCAAAATAATCACCAAGTCTTGCCAACTTCTGTGCAACTAAAACAACTAAAAAAAGAACTAAAAAGAGAAACTAAAAAAAAAAACATCACAGAAAGAGAATAACTCGAAGGGTATAACTCATAGCCACCCCCGGGCAAACCTCTACGTTTTTTTTTCTTCTTTTTTTTTTTTAATTTTTCCTAATTAAAATTAATTTGGCGCCTTAACGATCGTAGCTGGCGTGGCAGATCATGATACGAAAATATCCCCGTTATTTTAACAAACTAAATTTTAGTGGAACTATACGTAACATTAAATATTTGTTAATATTTATTAATACTTCAATAATATTTATTTAATAATGTTTATTTTATAATATTTATTTTGAAACTAATCTTTTGTCTCAAGGCCAATTTTCTGCTATCTTTGGGAAGTGGTTAATAATATTAGCATCTTTTGTACAATTAAATTGAGTTTCTGAAAGTAATTTTAACTGTGTATTTTTTTATTATTATTTAATCATATTTTTACATGAAAGAAAGCAGAGTATGAGGATTGGATTATTGTGGTAATTACATGTCTACTTCTTGTATTACGTAGTATGACTCGAAATTATGGCCTTAACCAGATCCTGAAACGCAATCTATGACCCAGTGCTATCCGCAATTGATGAAAATATGTGAGATCACGATTTACTTAAGGACTCAGATAAACAGATAACAATCATTATAAAGTATGAAATAGCGTCAAATTGAAAATTAAAAAATAATAATAATTAAATAAACAAATATTTTTGTAAAAAGTTGATAAACCTTCTACCTTAACTAATTTTCTTGAAATACAATTATTAAAAATTAACGAGATTTTGATTAGTTAATCGGAAAATTTTGTTATTAGTTAAATGATCTCAAAATGAAACTTTTTTAAACATTTTAAGCCAACCAGGCTAAGGTTTAAATAATATGGTAAAACAACCAAATTACTAAAGTTACTGAATGATTTATTGGGTTGCATCTCACATAAATTTAAACAATAATATTAAAAAGAAAATCATGCAACAATTGTTTTTCTTCTTAATTTTTTTCTATAAATTAAACAATGAACTGGCGAAATCAGAAAATTAAAATAGAAGTTGCATTAGAGATTAAAAATCCACGAAACAAATATTTTCGCCTACAGTGAGCTTTAGTCGTTTCACAAGAATACGAAAATATATTGACGCAAATTTAAAAAATATGTATACCCGAAATAAGAAATATTAAATCATTTGAAAAGATACGTAAGCTCCACACAACCCTATTTTGTGAAAATATTCCACTATTTATTTATCAACATTATTCAATTACAGTGAAAGTTTTTCAAAACATTCAGCTCATTTATGAAGGTTACGCATATTAATTATTCATTTATTATTTAACTATTTATAGATCATATTCAATTACTACGAAAAATTTACAAAATGTTCACCTTGTATACAAACATTACTTATATCAGTTATTCATTAATTATTTTATTTACAGATTTTATTCAATTACCGCGAAAGTTCTTAAAAATATTCAGCGTTTATATAAACGTATTAATCATTTATTTATTATTTAATTAAAGACCTTACTAGATTACCTTGAAATTTTTTCAAAATATTCATCTTATATGTAAACGTTTCTAACATTATTATTCTCATATTCCTTCATTTTAATTATTTAAACAGATTATTCAGTTACTGAGGAAAATTTTTAAAACCGTTTAGCTTATAAAGTTATCCATGTTGATTTAAAACTGACTCAACTATTTAAGAACGTATTTTAAGTAAGAGCTATATTTTGCAATTTTAAAAATTCCAATTTAGATTAAATCTTCCATTAATAAAAACCATAAAATACAAGAATTGTAGCGTGCATTTTGAAGTACCAATGATTGCGTGTTTCACCATCGTTTTCTGTGGATTAGTATTAGTTTTAATTTAATTACTTTTTAATGGATAAAATTTGTATGCATACATTTTAATCTAATTAAGTAACTAATTCAAAATTTATTGTATTTTTAAAAAAGGCTTATTTTGATTTTAAAAAAATATGCATTATAATTTTATTTTTCTAGAAAACTGAAAGAATAACATTTTACACGATAATATAATATTTTATATTCGACTAATAAAACTTATTATTAAAATTGCTTTATTATTTGAGAAGTGTATACACGATTTATTTTGAAAGATATTTTAGTATAATTCTTTTGAGGAAACAAATATTATACATGCTTGGCGTCTGTTTGTTTAGAAAAATAAAAATATTTTAGAACATGTTTCATCAATATTACTGATTTTCAATACTATAAATTAAACATGTCGTCGGTACAATGAATTTTCATCTTTTGAATGCAATAAGTAAAAAAGAAAATTATCAGAAATAAATCTGCTGAATAAATGTTAGAGTTGTGTATTTTAATTAGTTTAAAATGTTTATTTTCGTTTATAAAAACAGTACACATTGACATAACTGTGTAAGTTGGCCATGGGATTTTACAGTCGTGAATATGTCAGATGTTTTGACATAGATTGGCTATCATGTAGATGATGTTCTTTTTTCATTATAAAACGCAATATATAAATAAAATGAAACAATGAACTAAATTCAACAATACTTCAATTTAACTCGCATTTTCCAGACTTCACATTTACTTAAATAAAAATAAAAACAATATTTTGACAGATTTTCTTATTCAACTTTTTTATTACGATTTCTCAATATTTTTTCTGTTCTTTGTCCTGAAACGCTATGTCGAATCTATTATAACTCCAATAATTATAACGCAATACTACTATGATCCTGAAATTTGGACAGCAACTAAAAAAAAGTAATTTTGGGCACAAGCTTAAAAATCATTCAAAAATTTTCAATTAGAAACATTTGAAAAATGAATTTTGCACAAAAGTTCAGCATTAGTCACTGTAAAATAAACAAATATATATATAT